CCTATCCATGAATATGTCTGCTATTATTATTATTATTAACACTGTATTCTACCTTTTATTATTATTCCTGATTCATTTGAAACTATCTTTTATCACTAGCATTATCTCGTCTGATTTCAGCAGTATTATTATTATTAGTATTAATACTATTCTGTTTGCAATTCTAGATATTTTCTTTAATGACTAATTGTTTATCTACGTGATGTAATTGAGCTTTTATGCATTTTGTTTTATTTATTTCTAATCTCTCATACTTTCTCTCCCCCTCTCCCTATTTGAACATGATCTGAAAAACACTCACACGTCTCGTTTTGCATGATCAATTAATTCAATGTAGTTTATTTTCTTATCAGCCTTATATCCATCTCCCGATGTATTCCCCGATACCATATGCATACATCTTAGTGTGTAGAATATCGAGGTGAGCAGGAGTTCTACCGAAATTTCGATGAATTCATTAAATCCTGCATTATTAACACACCCTTTGTTGCTTGTTTTAAATTCGTATCGGGGAGGAAATGTGTTACCAACTTTTCTTAGAAATGACATCAGAAGATAATAATAATAATAACAATAATAATAATAGCTTTATTTCAAACAGTACGCTTTTGATACAAATAAGGAATTTTCAGCATGTTGTAGTACAGTTGTTTTTTTTTACCTAACTTGCTCATTAGAGGGGTAATAATTAAAACAGGGTATTTATATTGGTAATATTATTAACTAAGAATATGAGTATAAAAATTAAATCAAAGTGAAAATATTAACAACAATATACTATTTATATAAGTATAAAACTTGGGCACCACTGTGGTAGAGTAGAGTATAACTCCATTATGGATAAGATTTTTATTTTGATAAAGTGTCACACAGTGCAGCTTTACACAGTAATATTTACTGGTGACCACTTTTCGAGCACAGACTATTGGTCACTCATAATCATCTCAAGCCACTACTCATAAAACTTTTTTCCTTCATTTATATACATGAGTGGAATTGATGATTAGGCATTTGAATAAAAATCAATACGGGATAATGTACATTCAGAATTATTAAAATGAGTGTTGCTCATCAATTACAATCAGATGGGAAAGAAAACGAGTGTTTTTACAATCATAATAAGCAGCTTGTTAGAATGTTGTAATGTGCTTGAATTGAAATAGAATTTTAAGATTATTTATTATCCTCCTCTGATTCGACTGGCTGACTGGTGGTAATAATGTCTTTCATGCATATCTCTGGTATTTGCATTGAGTCATTTCTGTTGCATGTGTTGTGTTGGGTGTGTAGACTCGATGAACCAGGTAGGATTCAGTAATCAATTTCTCCTTCCACCTACTTAGATTACTTCTTAGAATCTTAACCCTCTCCCACCCTAATGTGTGGTTTTGTGTTAATGCATGCAGTGCAATCGGTGAGCTTTTTTCTAAATCATTTATCTTCTCGGGATCAACCATTCTTACCTTAGCTAAATTCAACGCAAATACCAGAAATATGCATGGAAGATATTATTACCACCAGTCAGTCAAATCAAAGGAGGATAATAAATAATCTCAAAATTCTATTTCAGTTCTCTAACTGATATCAATCCGTGGTCAAACTCGAAAAACAATATATCAATGAAAAAAGGTCTATCTACTTAGAGTTCCGTAGTAAGTTGGCGATATTCTGTCCTACACTTTTCACACACAATATGTGCTAAATAAGGCATTGCAGAGTTTTTCTATTTGGCCGTCCCAGCATACAGTCCTCTATAGTTGCTTCTATTTCTACCTGATAAGATACATTCAAAGAGAGAGAGAGAGAGAGCTATGTATAGAGAGAATACTCACGGTCTGACAAGATAATATTCGCTAATTTCTTGTGTGAGTCCATGTGTCTACTGCGTCGGTGGCACAGCGGTTAGGACTCTCGCCGATCATGCACATTGGTCCGGAGTTCGATCCTCTGCCAACGCACACCTGATATCTATGGGTTGGCCTGCAAAATTTGGGCTACCGATACCACATGCTGAAAATTCCATACCTGTACCGAAAATACGGTGTGGAATCAAGCTGTAATAAAAAAAATAAAAAATAAAACGAGTTGATTTAACTTAGCAAAAACCCACTGGTCCTACTGATAGTTTTTAATGCCCTTCTCCTCAGCATAACCAAGTAGTTTTTCTCTAAGTAGCACAAGAAAGATTCAGGCTGGGGTAGGGGTGGGTAGACAGAATACAAGAATTAACAAATTATGAAAGTAGACACTGAGCGATGCCAAATCGTCTTAACTTCCTTACGTAGGACGTTAAACGAAATATCTATCTGGAAACTAACATGATTTGGGAAGATCAGGAAAGGTGATCACAAGAAATACACAGTCCAACATATATTTAACATTCAATTTAGTTTCAACTTCTTTGGCATCTATCATATTGGAACTGATCGAAATAACCAGTTCATGTAAGTCGCGCTGGTGCTTGAAAGTGAAATCAACAACTTGACATTTGGAGAGATTAAGCTTAAGACCATTTGACAAGAACCATCGACTAATTTCTGATAAAAAAAAAACTTATTCATTTTTTCAACAGTCTGACTAAGAAGTAACTGCCAGCATTGCAACGGTAGGACCATCGGCATAATTAACAAAATCAGCTTCGTCAGAAAAAGGCAAGTCATGAATAAGAACAACTCCATGAGGAACACCCACCTAGAGTAAGTGAAGCAGTGGAGGACTTTCAGAAAAAATAGGAAAGCAACCACTTATTAGACCAGTACAGCCCTGCTTAAGGCAAGTCACAGTAAGCTTGCTTAACAAAAGATACATTCATATCCTACTAACAGCTTTAGTATGTTATAGTAAGGACAGAAGACAAGGGCCAGGCAACAGATCGTTTATTGAGAAAATCAACAGATATTTATAGATTTTTGTGTACATTATTATTAGCGTTATTGTTAGCAAAAAAGTAACATCTTCTGATTGGTTGTTTTCCTGCTGAATGTTATTCTGTCATCTCTTTGTGACTGTTTCTTAGAAAGTTGAGCCATACATCTGCGATTCGCATTTGCACACATTAAGTCCGCTGTGATTAGTTGTTGAGTTCCTCAAGGTTAGGCTTTGTTTTTATTTTTTCTCTCATGACCTCGATTCGGGACGTAACGTTGACGTAAATTGTTGACTACAATTTCGGCTTGCAGATAGCTCTTGCCACAATATCACCGTTCTGTACTTTCTTTATTTTTTCCATCATTTGTCTCGTGTAAGCAAGACCTGTTTGTCTTTCTATCCGTCTGTCTACCTGTCTGTCTATTTATCTATCTATCGATTTATTCATCTATCTACGTGTCTACTGTATAACAGATTTCTTAGTTCCCCTTACACTAGCTGGGTTTTTTGACGTAGGCTTAAATTACCATTCTTAGTGTCAATCAAAAAACAAGAATACATATTTAGAGAACAAAAAAGTTACGCAAACAGCTGATACGTAATAATTATAATCAAAAAATTATATTATTCCCTTCAAAAAGACTTAACTAGACGTTTCAAGTAGTGAATACAGGAGAGAGATGAGGCCGGCTGCCTATTTTCACCGTTGATATTTCTAATTGTGGTCAACTGACTGGATTATAAGGAAGACTGTGGGTTAGGAGCAAGAAAACAGGAACACGCTGGACCACCGATAAGAAGATTCTAGAAGATCTAAATTTCTCGTGTGGATGATTTATGTCTAAAGTCACACAAACTCGAAGACTTACAGGCAAAAATCAACAAAGTGCATGGAGAAGCAGTACAGCCAAGACAGGGCTCCAAGTGAACATAGATAATTCGGAGGTGATCAAGATACCCACGCACCACCACCAACAACAACAACAACAACAACAACCAGAACTAATCACTATCAACGGGTGAGATTTGAAAGGTTACCTCCTTCACTTATCTAGGAAGCGTTGTTTCAACTACAGGCAGAACGGACGAAGATGTCATGGCTGAGCTGAATGGGGAAGGCAAGATACGCCTTCATCAACCTGAAACCAGTTTGGAAATCTTCTGTACTCAGCATAAGAAACACAAATGTTTAGTTAGTCGGTCAATGCTTCTACATAGGTCAGAAATTTGCGATGCACGTCAAGAACAGAATTCCCAACAGGCCACTCTGTAGACTTTTATGAACAGCCGCCCCCTTCACTAGCTCCATTCTGAAAATTAAATTGCCAGCCGGCCAGAAAGAATTAGAAGAAACTCTGACAATGACTGGATTGTGAGGGCGATTGTTACTTCCCGGCTGCCCACACCGTGGAAGTTGGTTGCTTGACCGCAGAGCCCAGGGGACAACTGCTTGAGGCCGATCCTACGCGGCCTATTTTTGTCTGTTCTTTATTGTTTGGTGTGTCTCAGTAGCACATTTATCACTCCTGCCCTGTGACACGGCAGCAGGAAGCGCGGTCGTTGTTAATCCGGGCCCCGGCCAATCCGGCATGATATTTTGTGAGTTTGTATGTATCATGGTGTTGGATTGGGTAGCTGCTTTTTGTCTAACCGCTATCCAAACAACCTTTCTGGCATGGTAGGGCCTCAAGAGACATAAGTCTCAGCCAGTATAGCTTGATTAGGTCATTGCGGTGTTCAAGCCCGACCACCACGTCAAGGTAGCAGCTTTCGGACAATGAACGAACCAACAGGCGATAACCTATTGCTCAAAAAATATTTAGGATAAAATGGAGATGAATTTAGCACACATGATCACTGAGGAGACCGTTGGGTTACATCGGACTCAATGAAGGCTATCGCTCGAGTGCAACCCGAATGCGAAATGACGAGTGGGGAGTCCAAGAGTGACATGAAGGAGATCAGAGGTTATGGACAAATGTGGGGGCAGCTTGAAAGGTTCGCAGAAAATAGGACAAATTTAAAACGTGTTGTTGAAGTTGTATGTTCCACTCGGAACCCAAGGGAAGAACAACAGTAATAATATACCCTTCAAAAATAAAAGATAAAACCATTCCGATATACACACTTACAGAATAGACATTGCCTAATTGTAATGGTGCCAAAATCGATTTCAAATGTTTTCGATTAACACGATCATGTAAAGCAATACCTGGTCGACCAGTGGAATCAACAAACGGCAACAGATCAAAATTATCATTCTTTAAATTATCCAATGATAAATGCGATAGTGTTTGTGAAGTATCACCAGTTGACAGTGGTGACGACGATGTCTCTGTTGTTGTCATCGATGATGAACAAAAATCGATAGACCATGCAGAAGAAGTGTTCAGTATAGAAGACATATTAGCATCATTACTATTGTTGTTATCATTATTATTCGTATTATCATCCTGATTCAGTTCATATGAAACCATTTGACTTTCATCAGTAGGCAATATATTACTAATAACTGGATTATTAGTAGTAGTTATCGTTGGCGTAGTGGTATTTACACTTTGATATGGCTGTACCTCCGGTGAAGAAGTTAATATTTGATTTGTTGAAGCGGGGATTTCAAATTCACCGCCATTTATATTATGAGTATTATTACTGGCGCTTTCTTCTATATGTGTTGTAATCTCTTCAAAATTACTAGATGAACAAGAATTCACAGTGGATATCTTGGAGATTTCAGAGAATTCTGATGGATTCATTACATTGGTTGATGAAGAATTATCCCTGGAGATTCTACGAAAAAAATACTTAGGTTGAATAGAAAATAAAACTACCACAGTGAATGATTATAGGAATTATTTATATAAAAAGGACGGCGTTGCAGCGAAGAAGTCACCGTCAACTAGCCTGCCTTGTACACTCGTGTATTTATAGAGTAAATGAGTGAGAAAGTTCCAAAATTATTTCCGGTCAATGGTAACAACAGAACATCTGGTGTGATGAATTCAGGACATCTGACTTCGTTTGAATGAACAATCCTTCAAAGTCATATGCAAGATCCGACCATGCCACCCCAAGGGGGTAAAATCAAAGTATCTGGCTGGGAATAGCTGAGGCATTAGTGATCCAAAAATTCAAGCCCAAGCCATTTATTCAGAAGAAATGTGTCCAACCATTGTCTCCAACATGGCCATCATTGAAAGGTCATTTCTCTCAGTAGTAATTATCCAATCTTTCAATCAACAGTTAGTTTAAGCCACGTAGGAAGGTGTAGACTTCGTGGTTGGGGTCCTCGAGACGGTAAACACTAATGGTTGGACACAATCAAGTGATATGGCTAGCTCAAAATTGTTCTCAATGACGTAGATGCATCCACTCCTTGTGACTTATAATACCCAATAAAACTGTATTGGTCTTCGATATTACTATTCATTTTGCTTTATATCTCTGTTTACTGTTGTGGTAAGAGCTGTCTGCAAGACAAAATTGTAGACAGCAAATGACGTCTATGTTTACGTCCAGAATCAGAGTCATGAGAAAAAAAACAAGAACAAAGCCTAAACTTGAGAAACTCGACAAACAATCATAGCGGACTTAGCGTTGGCGGATACGATTCGTAGATATATCACTGGACAGTCTAAGAAACGGTCACAAAGAGATGACAGCATAACCTTCGGCAAGAAAACAACCAATCAGAAAACGTTGCTTCTCTGCTAACAATTACGCTAATAATAATGTACATAAAAATCTATAAATATCTGTTGATTTTCTCAATAAATGATCTATTTCCTGGCCCTAGTATTATATCTGTATCCATATCACTATCTATATTTTGCATTTCTTTTTACTTTTTTTGCCTTGCTTTGTGTGCTACATGAAGTCAAGTGACTCGAACTGCTGCGAATCGGTGCAAAGTTCCATGTTGAAACCAGCCTGCCAGTCAGTTTCCAATCTTTCTGTTTATTTCTGTTATTTTTACATTTTTTTAATTGCTGTCTGCACTACTATGATTTTTTTATCCGAACTTCTTATCTATCTCGTTATTACCACACTTTTAATTCCGTATTGTACAAAAGTGTCAATTTTCCCCGTAATTATCATCCTACTAAGTTTTGTTTGAGTGGATTGGCACTCTCTGAGGAGGCCGCCGCTGGGTGATATCGCGCGCACGTCAGGCCAGTGCTTGAGTCGAATCCGAAAGGGAAGCGGCGAGTGTGACGTCAGTGCAAGGGTGACATGGAGCAGATCGTGTAAAGAGGAGTCGAAACACTATGGACTAACATGGATGCGGGTGAAAAGTACAGCAGCAGAAGACAGAAGTGGCAAGTGGAGACGTGCAGTTAAAGCCCTATGTTCCACTAGGAACCCAAGGGAACAATAATAATAATAATAATAATGTTTTGTTTTATCCGATCTTCTTGTTCATTACACTTTGTGATTCTATTAAATCTGACCTTTGACCTACCGTAAATAGTTCTGGAACTTTTTCACCCATTTACTCTATAAATACAAGAATTTACCGTTTAGTTGATGACTAACTTCGTGAAAAACAGAAATTTTTTTCTCTGCAACCGTCTTTTTACTGTGAATGAACATCATATTTTAATGTTTAACGAAAGTTCTCCAACTTTTATTGACTGGTAGGGGCAATGTGTTCATACTTTGTAACCTGCAGGTTCTGGATCCACACCTATTCGATGATCATGAATACTTTTCGAAAATTTCACTGCATTTTTAAGCTAGACTTGAAAATGACGTCTAGGAAGACAGCTAAACCGCCCAACTCAAAAAAAAAGAAAACAACACAACAAATATAACCATAGTGAAATTACCTACCTCAGATACAAATCTTCTCTCTATCACTTCAAAGTATGAATTCATGGGTCAAATACCCACAGACGTACATACCGTTACACTGTGTCATATTCCAACTTACTTGATGTGTCTGTGTAAAACTTCCGACACAAGAGTCGTCAACAATCAACACGATTGTTGCCATGGTAATAGGAGTGGTTGAATGATTTTCTTTTAACTGAATGACTAGGACTTCTGCAATATAAAGAGGACGGAAGCATATTGTCTTTGGCAGGTTGTTCTTCACTTTGTAGATTGCTTTGAAGGAGGCGTTTGTTGAGAAAGAATGGCCAGTGTTGACAAGATGTTAGATTACCGCACTGCTTATACAACCACTATTACCTTTTCGTAGTTCTTTTTAACCTTTTTGGACAGAATGAGCGTCGAAAGACCAGTTTACCTGGCTCCACAGAAACAGGTGAACGGATATATGCACGCAAAGGTGGTCAGATACGAAATCTTGCCCTTAAGGCTTCTCCACATCAATGGACGACTGGAAAACACTACTCTTAGAGTTGCTGAGTAGAATTTTCTTCTCAAAGGTGTTAGAATTCTTCTCCTAAGAATTTCACAGGGTGAGCCTCCCTTGAAATTCAGGTTTGTGAAGAGTTTATTTTGGAACACGTTATGTTTTGTTCTTCTGAATTTTTGGTCTGACACTCTTGTCGATGTATCTTGATGGGTATCCATTTTGGATCAAGGTTTCTTTCACAAGATCTAGTTCTGATTCCAGGGCGTCAGGGCCGCAGATGAGTCGGATTCGAATGGTAAGGGATTTAATTAGATTCTGTTTTCATTCAACGGACACCCAAGTATAACAACTTGTTAGTTGACCATTCCAAGTGGATATGCTATGAACTCACCTTCATAAGGTTCCGTCGGGTCGTCTTGTTAGTTCCATATCAAGAAAGGAAATTTTAGATTCGTTTTCCGTTTCTGTCTGTCTGATTTCGACATAGAACTTTGCACAAATGTGCGACAGTGCAAGTCGCCACACTCCCTCCTTGTAGCACACAAAGCAAGAGAAGAAAGTACAAGAAAAGCATAATAGAAACAGTGACCAGAGGTGTGAGACAAAGGAGTAATAAAGAAATACAAAACAGTTTCAGTGGAAATCATAAGTCACAAGGAGTGGATGCATCTGCGCTGTCAATGAGAACGATTTTGAGCCATGTCACCAATTGTTTCCAACCATAGATTTTTACCGTCCCGAGGACCCCAGCCTGGAAGTCTACACCTTCCTACGTGGCTTAGACCAACTGTTGTGGATTTCATTGACTGGTGCCAAGTTTTTGTTTGACCGCCGCTAGCTTTTTTCCAGCCTGACCCTATATCCGCTAACATTGCTCGTCGAGGGAGGCGATGGCTTGGCATACGTAACACATGTCCTAACCATCTCAGTCTTTGTAACTTCACGACTTCGTCGATTGATTTCCCCTGTTTACCTAGAACTCTACGCCTAACCTCAATGTTGCTCACCTTATTATGCCACTTTACACAGGAAATAGAGCTCAGGAACCTATGATCAAAGACAGCTAGTCTTTTCATGTCTTCTAGAATGAATTTTGTTGTTGGATGGTAGTCATTATTACATATCATGTTTGGCAAGATGCTCCTCATCCTCCATATTCTAGGAGGAACTTTCATTATCTTAAGGCTTCATAAACATTAGTTTTTTTTTGCATTAGTTGTCACATAGAACATAATGTTTTCACATAAAATGCTGGAAATAAATTGCTTCCCAAAAATTCTCTATGAGGGATACGGTTGCTCATTCTTGCGCCTAGAGCATAGTTGGGCTGTTTTCCTTTCAGACCAATAATCATTTTATTTAGGGCTTTATCATGAGCTGATTTCGGTTGGAGAACCATTAGAGTACTGAACAGACAGCTGTTTCATTAGCCTAGTTTAAGACTCTTCATCAGTATGCGCCCACTGCCAAGGTTAGAACCCAAGACCTTCCGGTTACAAAGTGAGTCACTAGACCATTAAGCCACTTGGACCAGCCAAACTAATGGCCAGTCAGCCCATAAATACCAACTTCTACCAATCCACAACACAGTGCTACCAATAGACAATGTTACAGCTGGCGAGTATTTGTCCTTGCACCCGAAAAGTTCCGACTGCGAAATCCGGCGACAGATGCGCACGGCTAAAAAGTCCCAAACTAGGCTGACAAAACGTCTGTATGTTAGTACTAGCAGCTGGTTTTCCAATGGTTCTCTAACCAGCTCATGATGAAATCCCCCAACATTTCAAAAGTCCTACGCTAGACTGTCACCGATGATCTTTCTGATTATAGTGGACTGGATCATCCAGTAGGCCGTAAGAGAAAAAAACAAGCGTATGTTGGAATAAAAACAGACCCAACAAAATTTGGATTTCGCGGATGGTGTATGTCATATGACACGAAAACTCGACGATTTACAAGTGAAAACCACCAAGTGGGCAAAAGAGACAGCGAGTATAGAACTTCATCATATTAACATGGAGATACCGAACACCAACCATAAAACACACCGATCATCATCAACGGGAGGAATTTGAAGGAGGTAACTTCTTTCGCTTAACTAACCGAGCCAGCATCGTTTCAACTATAAGCGCTATGGATGACGATATCGAAGCCAGCCCGGATAAAATCCTGAAAGCAAGGTAGGCTTCTTTTACTCTGAAATAATTGTGGAGATCAACAGCATTCAGAAAATTCAGAAAAAAGATCCAAATTTTCAACAATAATATCAAGTCAGTGCTTACATATGATTGGTTAAGAGAATCGGCATACATGTCAGCGAAAGCATTTACAACAGACTGCGATTTTCATTAACAGTTAACCCTTTCATTTGATACTGAAACTCTTTACGAAGTGAGGTTACTAAGCCTCACACCCAACCTTTTCTGTTTTCCGCATTAGACACCGTTTAACACTGTGTCGGTCAGGAATCGATTCATGACCTTCAGTGTGACTGACACTGCCCCATTAGACGACGGACCACAATGCAACTAATCAAAATGATTAAGACGAAAAAGTTCATTCAACTTACTCAGTTTTTGATAATGAACTGTCATCATTTAATTCAAAACACTGTGGATTTCGTTCTGAAGTACATCCATCCCCCGTTGAAGTGCATAATACATCTTGAAAAAGGATATACGCAGCACAGGGAAGAGAGAGAGAGAGAGAAAGGAAGGATAGATGTTATCTAACCGTTTCAATAAAAGTCAGGTTTCTTTTTTATTGATGTAAATTGATAAGAATGAGGATAAAATAACACACACATACATAACGGCTTTAGTGCGTCGATGATACAGCTATAAAAGTGGTACGCCAACCACGCCTCATGTGGTTCGCGGTTCGGGGCTCGATCCCCGGGCAACAAAGGCACTCCTAAACCAATCCAAACCGGTAATAAGACCGGTTAAGAATAAGAAAGGTTGGATATGAGGTTAGTAAACCCAATCCGTAAAAAATAGACATCACAGCTACAGAAACTTAAAAACTCAAGCCTGAAGTCCTATGTTCCACTCACAAGGTAAAGAAACAAACCGAAAAATGGCGCGCACACACACACACACACAACTCACCTGACTGCAGTTGTGATTTACTCAGTAAAACAGAATTTGATCCAGAATTGGTCAACTTAGCACTGACTACGGTTGGTGTATGTGATGAAGATGGTTCCGAATCATCGTCCTATTCAAATAAAAGCAAAGTAGATCACAATTTAAATTCTTGAATTCAGTCAGACTTTCGGGTCTGTATAATTTAAATTAAATTTTTAATTATAAATTGACTCCACACAGTATTTTTGATACAAGTATGAACTTTTCAGCATGCGATATTGGTAGCCCAAATTTTGCAGGCCGACCTGTGATATCGGTTGTGTGTCGGCTGGGGATCGAACCCGGATCATGTGCATGGTCGGCAAGCGTCTTAACGATTAATTTCAGTGTAGACTGGAATTAAGAACTAACATCAGTTGAAGATGGCTGACACAAACACATGCACGCCGACGACTCAATTATCATTATCTCCTAACGAAGGGGGAGCAGCCCTGACAACTTTAATAGAATAAAGGAATAGTTGAGTGTTGCTTTTTAAGGATTTGATTTGATTTGATTGGTTACAGAATTATCATCATGAGCTGATATTAGTTAGGGAACCATTTGAAACAAGCACCCGAGTACTGGACAGCTGTTTCGTCAGATTAGTTAAGGACTAACTATTCAGCGATACGCACCCACCCCATTGCCACGGTTTCAACCCAGGACCTTTAGGTTACAAGGCCAGTTCGTAGACCATTAAAATAATAAAAGATATTTACATGACACTTTTATAATTTGTAGTGAAAATTCCACTTAGATAGTCTATTCAACACTTTTAGCATAACACACTTTTCGATTAATTCACTCTGAAATGGGAATCAAACCTGCTATTTCTGTTCCTGGAAGTGGTACTTTCTAGAAAATAAAACAATTCAATCCTAAGATCAATATAACGAAAAACCAACAACCACTGGACAGTTTATTAACTCCCAGAGTTATGTCGCACCAACCAGACAATAAAAGAAAGTAGTACGTTCATTACGCTCAAGGATTTGGAGGACACCTTGGAGACTGGAGATGAAAACTCTATGCGACAGTAAATAAGAAAAATATCCTTCATCTAGATATATTAACCAAAACATGAAGGAAAAGGTGTTGTCACAGAATGTTACAGGTGTTCTAAGAAAACTCTCTTCATGAACCTGCAGTTCACAGATGACATCGAAGCCGAAATCCTTCAAAATTATATTTCTAATTGTCTGAAAAAGACATCATTTACTAATATTCCCTTAAGAATCATATTTTTTAGTCCATACAGTTGTGCGTTAAGGACTTGTTCCTATGGAGAGAAGCAAATCAACCGTACTCAAATCTACGTCCGTAAACGTATTTTAGAACACTAACCACGCTGGTTAACACTACAGTAGCGAAATAAATATCAGTTGTGCTTTTATCGAGCATCTTATCAACTGTCAGTCTCAGACAGACCCCTCACCTCTGTAAATACTTCAAAGTGATCCACAGAGCTTCCCCGAATATAGCGCAACAAGACTTCAAACGAGTCATTTACGAATAAGCGAATCACATTGGCTGGCTATTCAGGACCACTTCACTTATATACGGGAGAAGTTGTATCAGCCAGCGACAAAGGGTTCATCGCTGACGAAATCTAAGCATGGATACAGGAGGCTTGTTTGGCATTTCCCAACCAACCTACGCCATTTCTCACTTGGTTAAACGTGATATCCGGTTGACTGGCTGGCTAGCTGTAGACCAAAAGACGTGTGTCCTGCTCAGTAGTCACTTCGCTCTGTCCTCCTTTATGGCTGGCTGTCAGTGAGGCCTAGTTCCCATTGCAAGTGGGAGATGTCAAAAACCTGGCTAGCTAGATAGCTGTCTTTCATCATAGGTGTCTGTTTACGTTCCATCCCCCGTGTGCGTTATATGGTAGGTGGTGATATGATAGAGAGAGTAATATTGAGGATGTTAGGCTTCGGTGAAATGCTAGCTAGGTAAGAAAGGAAAATCAATTGACGGGGCATGCCCAGCCTAGCCCAAACATCGCCTTCCTCGACAACGGGTACTGTTAGCTGACCAACATAGGATCGATCAGGTTGGAAAAGTGCTGGTGGTGGTCACATGAAATGCATAACAGTTATTCTAAGCCATCCCTGTAAGGAAGTATAGATTGACAGTGTGATTGGAGTCCTCAGGATGGTAAAAAGCAATGGAGGCGGGATATGGCTCAAAATCCTCGTTGTCAATAACAACGTATATGCATTCCCTGTTTGTGGTTTCTCAGTCTTATCAAATAAAAGTCTATCGTTCTTCCACCATATTATTACTATTCTTCCTTTACACTTCTGTTTATTATCTCTCTCTTTTCAGGAGCCTGGCTTTACTGGCTTCTTTTGGTTTGTGTGCCACATGGAGGGAGAGTGGCAAGTGGAACTAGTGGAAAGTTCTAAGATGAAACCAGTCAGTCAGTCAGTCAGTTCTCGTCACTTTGTTTAACCATGGAGTAATAAACGCCAACCAATCAGAACAGTCTGTTGTCCGATGATCTAGCCGACGCCCAAAATGGTTACAAAAACAGTCCATTACCATTTCTCATATTTCCTGCCGTAACATGTACAGTGAAATTCCAACCTGGATACCCGTTGACTGGAAACTCAGTGTTTAAGCACCAATGAACAATATCGCCCTTAATGGAAAAGTGAAACAATCAGACGACTAAACTAAAAGTCGAACTTACTAACAATGTACAAGCATCAACACCAATATCATATCCTTCGACTATGTCTGGTGATGTTTTAAAGACATTTAACTGATGTTTATTTCCATCGGATAATAATTTAGAAGGCCATGGTATAAAGACTATAAAGAAAGAAATATAACAATTATAATTAAATATGAATGGAGAAATAAATTTAAATCAATACAAGACTTTAGGAGATAATCATAAGACATTACAATAGGTGCTGATCACGAATTATACAGGTAAATAGAGCACAAGTGTTCATTAGTATGTACTCAACCGTCAAATTAATGAACATGTACTAGATAATGCTCCAAATCTTTATCAACCTCATTCAACAGCCGACAGTGACACGTGTTAGGTGATCCGGAACCGTAACCTCAGAAAGACGTTAGAATTGGGTAGAGGAGTAAGACAAGGCTGGACGTCTATTATCACCGATGATATTTTTAATTGTCGTGAACTGACTGGATTATTCGGAAGACTGCGCGTCAGGAGAGAGAAGACAGGAATATTCTGGACCACCAACAAGATCTGAACTCCGCAGATGTCTCATGTAACACAAACTCGAAGACTTACAGGCGAAAATTAACAAACTCCATGAGAAAGCAGTGTAGACAAGGCAGGAATTCCCTTGAAAGTAGCGAAGGCGGGGAGGTGATGAAGATACCCACCCAACCATTCACCCACTATCACCACCAACAATAACAACTACAGCCTCCACCGATCACCCACCATCAAGGGGAGAAGTTTGAAAGAGATCACTTCCTTCACTTGTCTGCCTAGGAAGCATCACTCCAACTATAGGAACACGGAACGGATGAAGATGTCGAAACCAGCCAGCCAGAATCAAAAAGGAAAGGTACACCGCCAACACCTTGAAATCACTTTGAAAATCTCCCACGGTCACTCAGCCAACATAAACAACAAGATTCGGATTCTGTTCAACACAAATGTGAAGTCGGTAAGTCAATCAGTCACTTCTTTTACGAAACTTCCACTGCGCGTGAGTCACGAAAAGCATTTCCTACAGGCCACTCTGCAGACGTTTGTCAGCAGATGCCCCATTCACTGGCTCCATATTGAAGATCAAATGGCCGGCCGCCCAGAAAGAATTAGCAAAAAACAAGAAACTCTGGCAATGAACGAACCAACAGGCGAGAACCGACTGCTCAACTGAGGAGACCATTGGGTATCATCGCGGCCAAGGCAGGCGATTGTTCGAGTGGAAGGTGAATGGGAAACGAGTGATAAGTTGGGCGCTGGTCCGTGGGCGACATAAAGGAGATCAGAGACAATGGAAAATCTTGGTTCCAGCTAAAGAGGACAACAGAGAATAGAAAAAAGTGGAGACATACTGTTGAATCTGTATGTTCCACCCAGCGGAACCCAAGGGAACAATAATAATAATAAATACCTTGAGTTCGATCTTCGGCCGGCATACTCTTAAATCTAGCGTAGATGGCAGTAGACCTAGTAAAGTGAAAAGGGTGGGGTATGACGCCAGTGACCATACCCCATGAACATAATACACAATGGTATTGAAACTTTCAAGCTCAAAACTTAAAAGCCTATGAGAAATAGAAATACCTTCCCAAGGGTTGATTTGTCGAGATTTGATTGGTTAGAGAACGACTGGAAAACCTGAGAGTAACGGATAGAGGCCCCGTCAGCCTAGTTTGCAACCACAAGGCGAGCTTGTGCACCACTAAGCCACTGGGACCCAACAATCCAATGGCTAGCCAGCCGATGAGAATTTCAATTCACCCATGATATAGCACGATCACCACACTAGCCAACGTCATCACTGGCAACTATTTATCCTCACCCCCCCCTCAATGGTCACCACTTCTCACTAGAACCCACCCAGGTAGCTACCTGCCTACCTACCTACCTAAATAGAGCCAGTAGTCGCTAGTGAGCATCAGATCAATATTCAAGCGTTGATTTGTATGAATTTGATTGGATAAAATAAACACATTTCAAAAAATTTTTTTTGAAAACAACGAACGAACAAACAAACATACCGGACATTTTAAATTTTTCAGCGTTATATTTTCTTGAAGAAGAACAAGAAGAAGAAGAAAAAGTGGAAAAGGACATGAGTGAATTTCGACGATTAATATTACCATTATTATTATTATTACCATCCGAATATAATAATTGGCTCTGTACTAACGCCTTCGATGATGATGATGATACGGAAGAGGAAGCCGCCGCCGGTAATGATAACAATGAAGACGATGATGAAGACGGAGAAGAGAAGAAAGATGATGATGCTGATGTGGTTGACAAAAGCTGAGGAGTACGACCAGGTGATGAGATTTTATTATTGTTATGATTATTATTACTGATGGTGCTTGTGCCGGTCTTGATACCATTGGCAGCATATCCTTGACACAGCATAGATTGAATTAATGAAGTATTTTGATGATTAGAATTTGCAAAGAAATCAGCATAAGTGATATTCGGTGCTAAAGCGATAAGATGGGCTAAAAACGAAAACAAAAATAATCAATAAACTAGGGTTTATATGATGATGTAATGACGGGAGTTAAAAATACAAACAAGAAAGCAAAAAGAATAACTGAAATTTAATCCTATTCGAACTAGAAACATTCACCAGCTTAAATGCAATCCCTACCACAACAATATATGGTTCAATGAAAGAATGCTAACAAAATCCAGAATGACGCATTCCTGAATCTCGGTAAGCCGATAGTAAGTCAGGTAGAAAGAAGGACTGTTGAAAGTGCGGCCAGCTATTCAATGCCGTAAAAAGAAACTAATATTGTTGTTATTAACATTATTACTGTCGCCGTTGGTTCCGAGTGGAATATACGGCTTCAACAGCACGTCTCCACTTTGTCATACTTTATGCAGTCCTCTTTAACTGGCCGCAAGACTGCCCATAGTTCTTCATCGCCCCCCACCAAAACGACCCCCTCCATGTCACCCTCGGATCAACACCCAACTGGTCCCCCGTTTCCCAATCATCTTCCACTCGAGGTCTAGTCTGGCGAGATATGTCATTCGACGGTGGCGTTTGGCCAATCCATCTCCGTTTGCATCTCACTTATTGTTGAACAATAGGTTCTGGCCTGTTGGTTCGTTCATTGCCAGAGTTTATTGTTCTCTGTTAATTCTTTCTGGTTGGCCAACCATTTGATCTTCAATATAGAGCCAGAGTAGGGGGCAATTGTTGATAAAAGTCTGCAGAGTGGCCTGTTGGAAATGCTTTTCGTAACTCACACGAACTGCAAGTTTCTGGCTCATATAGAAGAAGTGGCTGACTGACTTCACATTTGTGTTGAACAGAATTCGAATTTTGCTGTGTATGCTGGCTGAGTGAGCGCAGAAGATTTGCAATCTGATTTCAAAGTGTTGTCAGTTTACCTTGCCTTTCCGATTCTGGCTGACTGGTCTCGACATCTTCATCCGTTCCGTGTTCCTGTAGTTGGAGTGATGATTCCTAGCCAGGTGAGTGAAGGCAGTGACCTCTTTCAAATTTCTCCCGTTGGTGATAGGTGGCTATCTTCATCACCTCCATCTTATCTACGTTCAAGTAAATTCCTATCTTGGCTGTACTGCTGTGGTGAGAGCAGGCTGCTAGCCGATTGGTTGACACTAATCTACGTTAATGTCTAGGTCACTAATATGGGCCGTGAGAAAATATGAACAAGGCTGATTCAACAACCAATCACAGCAAAGTTAACGTGGCAAAATATGATTCGCAGATAGAGAACTCTATTTGTCAAGGAATCCCGAAACAACCAATCAGAAGCCTGCGTTTGTCTGCAACCAATCAGATGACTGCGCTTTTTCTACTTGCATAAGCTATAATAATGTATGTGAAATATATATAAATACGTGTTGATTTTCATAATAAAACGATCTGTTGCCTGGCCCTTGTCTTCTGTTGTTACACTGCTTCCTCATGCAGTTTTTTTTAATTTCGCCTATAAGTCTTCGAGTTTGTGTTACATCATCTGCGGAATCCAGATCTTCTAGAGTCTGTCTTCTTGCTCCCAAGGCAAAGTCTTGCGAATAATCCAGTCAGTCCACCACAATTAGAAATATCATCGGTGATAATAGACAGCCAACTTTGTCTTACTCTTGTATACCCTTCAAACGCCTTTCTGAGGTTTCGAGTGTGGATCACCTGGCACATTATTATTATTATTATTGTATCCTTTAGTTCCTAGAGGAACATAGGGCTTCAGCTGCGCACCTCCATTGCCTTCGGTTTTCTGACAACTTTTTCACCCTGCTCCAGGTCTGTCCACATGCTTTCATCTCCTCCTGGCACATGGCTTGTGTATAATAAATTACCTTGGTCTATAAATTTCCATAAATAAATAAAACTTGACGCTTGTTGGAAATGTTGAATTTCCCGCTGCTTTTTTTCTGCTGCACTTATTCAAATGTTACGAACAAGATGGTTTAGAGCGAGAAATTGTTTTCGATAACTTCTTCCTCAGGCTCTACCAAAATTCTTTTTTACGAGTTGATCACCACAATTAGAAATCCATGATTAGCCAGTGAAGGCAAGTGAAAATTATATCGGAAACTGTATGGCGGTACATGTATAAGATGGCATGATAGTTCGTTAGTTAATACCGTCACCTTGATGTAAATAAAATGTAAAGTCAGTCAGAACATAAGATAAAATGTGAGTAGAAGTTTCATTCGGGGGTGGATAGGAGTGGAGGTGAGTAATACTCACTGGTGTGACAGAAATATAATTACCACATATGACATACAAATAAATACCAGCAAATGGAGTACACTGATTGCAAATTCAAGGACTGACAGATATCAAGTGCAGTGAAAAATGCGACCAAATCAATAAATAGTGGCATTTTACTTCATCTTTGCCTTGGTGACTCAACATCTCATCTCACTAATTACATAATCTTTTGTCTTTACCCCCTCCACAACCATATTTTTATACTTTTTTGGAATTCAGTTCTTTTTTGTTACTATGACTTGAGTTAAACTCACCACACCCACCCTACTCATCACCAATTCCTCTCCTCCTATCTTGGCTGACTCCAGGTGAACATAGACAAGACGGAGGTGATGAAAGTAACCAACCAACAACAACAGCAGCAGCAACATCCGGCGCCAATCACCATCAATAGGAGGCATTTGAAAGAGGTTACTTCATTCACTCACTTATCTAGGGAGCATTGTCTCAACTACAGGAAGTCAGAACGGAAGAGGATGTCAAATCGAGCGAGAATCGGGAAGGCGAGAAATACATTCATAAATCTGAAACCAATCTGGAAGTCTTCGTCCCTCAGCCAGAATCAACAACAAAATTCAGTCGGATTTTCAATACAAACACGTCAAGTCAGTTCTTCTATACGGATCAGAAACTTGGCGGATCACAAAGAATATTTCCAACAGGCTAACTCAGACCTTTATCAACAACTGTCTTCGCTCTATACTGAAGATCAGATAGCCGGGCCGGAAAGAATCACCAACAAGAAACTATGGGAACAAACAAAACAAGAACCAATTGCCAACCAACAAATATGCAAGAGAAAGTTGAGATGGATTGGACACTCGCTGAGGAGGCCGCCGCTGGGTGACATCGCGCGCACGTCAGGCCAGTGCTCGAGTCGAATCCGAAAGGGAAGCGGCGAGTGGGACGTCAGTGCAAGGGTGACATGGAGGAGATCGTGTGAAGAGGAGTCGAAACACTATGGACTAACATGGATGCAGGTGAAAAGTACAGCAGAAGACAGAAGTGGCAAATGGAGACGTGCAGTTGAAGCCCTATGTTCCACTACGAACACAAGGGAACAATAATAACAATAATAAATATCTCGACTGTGCAATTCAACAATTTCCAATGTATCCAATCACTAATTTTTCATGTTTGTATTTTCATTTAACAATAATGGTCGGCTAGGATTACAGGATTGACATCAGTTAGAGAACAATTAGAATACATGGGAGTATGGGACAGCTATTTTGTCAGCCCAGTTTCAAACTCTTCAGCAATACGTAACCACTGGGGTTCGAACCCGGCCACTGAGTCGGGTCCCAGTAGCTGGATGGTATACGAGCTTGCTTTGTAACCGGAAGGTCCTGGGTCCGAACACCGGCGGGTCCGTACTGATGAAGAGCCCAAACTAGGGTTAAAAAGCTGTCCAGTACTTGAATATAATATTCTTAGCATATTAACATTGGATTTTCATTATATCTCACAGGGTATGTTTACCGCCTTTGTACAACTTACCTCGTAAAGGTCTAGTGGATAATACAACCACTTCAGAACTGTTTAATTCATATCCTTGTGGTAATTGCCTGATAATCCATACTTCTAATCCAATTCCACCGAATGCACGTTTACGTGTAGCATAATTATGACAAGGTTTTAACCATAAAGCGCTGACTGTATTAATTTGACCTAGTTGTTGAGAATAAGTCAACAATTCTATTGATTTGATTGGAAATGCTATGCTTGAATTTGTTGGATTAATCATTGGCGAATGATAAGGTTGTAAGAGGGTAAATAAAGAATAATTTGAATCCAATGGTTTAGTCCAATAGACGAGTAGGTTGGACGATAGAGAGTGTAAGCCAGACTCTATGAAAGAAAAAGAAAAACTGATCAATAATACGCATTAGAAACTTTAAAAGATGGATAACTATTGAACAATGAATATTCTTTTCGATAACTTTGTCTTCTTCATAGCTATGTTCCTCTCCAGTATAAAATGTATTTAATACGGGACTACAGGATCAGAGCCATATACTAAGAAGACGTCATTGAATACGAACTCAGGGTTGGCTGCATATGACACCTGAATTGAAAATAGCTATCCAGAAAAGCTCATCAGGAAATACATGACCAAGAAAGTAGAAAAGGGCTATTCTCTACGAGCAAGTACAAAACTTATGTATATATTCAAGTACAATTCACAGGTGACGTGTCAACCGAATGAAATAATTACTAACAAGTCTCTGTCTGTCTGGATTCAACATAGAACTTGGCACCGAAGTGCACCAGTTCGATTTGCCACGTTACAAATACCACACAAAGGTAGACAAGAAGATGAGTGAAGAGAATCAATAGAGTTTGACAAGCATAAGAGCGAAACAGAATGAGCAATGGTAGAAAGGAATATGAAAGATCACAGAGACTGAATACATCTGCGCTGGTCATTGACAACGATTTTGAGCCATGTCACCTATTGTCTCCAGCCATTGATTCCTAGAGTTCCGAGGGCCCTAACCCGGAAGTCTACATCTCCCTACCTGACTCAGTTTAACTGTCAAGGATTTCATGGATTGATGAGGCCATGTTTTTGTTTGGCCACCACTTACTCTTTTCCAGCCTGCACCTATATCAGCTAGTAATGCTCGTCATCGGGGGAGGCGATGGTTAGGCATGCGCAGCACAAGTTATACAAGTTACATTTTCTACACTACCCGTTGTCATTCCTCATTAGAACGATGAGCCACCTAGACCAGCTAGCCACCTCTAATTGTATCTACCGATTCAACTACGCTTGTGATGGAGCGAGTTGTATTGACCAATACTCTAGGAAATTGATTTTCGTGCTCGCTCGGGAAAACCAATCAGTGTGGTGTGTGTGTGTGTGTGTGTGTGTGTGTGTGTGTGTGTGTGTGTGTGTGTGTGTGGCTAAATAAAGGTGTAGTAAGAAATATCATCGACAGCTCGATATTAGTCCACCTGGTTCAAAGTGACCGATCACTAAGCTAGCATATAAGAACCCTTCCCCATTATCATCTATCAGCTACTAAATGCATTGCCAAAAGCATCAAGGTAAAGAAGACTCCAAACGGGAGAGGCTATTGAGACTCGCCTACAACAACCGGTGCTCTATGTGCTTAAAACTTAAAAGCCTATGAGAAAAAGACGTACCTTCTCAAGGGTTGGTTTGTAGGGATTTGAACGGACAGAGGCCCTGTCAGCCTAGTTTGCAACCACCACCACCACTGACAGGGTTCAAACCCACCACCTTCCATTTATGAGGCGAGCTCGTACACCATTAAGCCACTGGGACCCGCAAATCCAATGACCAGCCAGCCGATGAATTCAAATTTCTGACAATACACGCACGATACAGAGCGATCACTACACTAAACAGTATCATCTCACTGGCGAGTATTTGTCATCACATCCGACTCGTCGTACCCACCCCGACTGGTCACTACTTCTCACTAGAGAACGCAGGTAACTACCTACCTACCTGAACTGGACCACTAGTCGCTAGTAAGTATGAGATTAATATTCAAGTATTGTCGCGACTGATGGAGTACAGCAGGTCAAGTATGAGGACAAAGACTTGCTAGTGAGATCCCATTGGCTAGTGCCAACCAGCATGCCATATCATGTCAATCGGTAGAAGTCAGAATTCATAAGCGGGCTGACCATTTGGATTGGCGGTTCCCAGTGGCTTATTGGAGTACGAGCTCGCCTCGTAACTAGGAGGTGGTGGGTTCGGTCCCTGCCAGTGTGGCGGTTGCCTAGTCCTGAAGAGTCGTAAACTAAGCTAACGAATCGGCTGGCTATCCAGTAGTCGAGTGGTAGTTTTCCAATGGTTCTGTAACCGATGTCAGCTCATGATTGAATCCTGTAACTTAACTACAACACTGATAATAAGTCTCAAAATTCTTATCATCTGACATAGCTTTTTTTCAGACAACTGACGTAATTTATTGTTAATGATACCATATCATAACTAAACCGGAAACAAAGTAGAATAGACAATAGTGTTCGACCAATCAATAATCATTTAATGATATATTACGCAGATAATCTTTACCGCGTCATCAAGTCTATTAATCAGTTCACCAATCGATATATGAATGTATAACACGCAAGCATCAGCGCCTCCGAACTAGAGGGAATAACACCCACCATCAGTTCAGACTCATTTGGATCTAGATGTTACCATAAACCACGATTTAAAAACTACAGCACATTGTGATGCGGTGACAGCACGTAGTTTCACATCTTTATGGAAGTATCCTTAACTGAACTTAACGACTTAGGAATCGACTTGTTACCAGGGAATAGTCCTTTGAACTTAGAATATGCAAATGACATAGACCTGTTAGGGGAGGATTCTGACAAAATGCAGAGTCTTCTGAACACCTTGAGCAGCAATCTTCGTATGTTTGGCATGCGATTCGCCCCTGCTGTCAAATGTAAGATGCTGCTACAGGACTGGACTACATCAACTCCTAGCTTAGTGATAGGGAGTGAAGTGCATGTGAAGAACATGTTGACCACTTCACCTATTTGGGAAGTTGTATCAGCACCAACGGACTGATTGGTGACGAAATCTCAGCACGGATCCAAAAACCTCGAGCTGCTTTCGCTGACTTACACCATCTCTGGCGTAGGCGTGACATCTGGCTATCAACCAAGGGACGTGTGTACTGCTCAGCAGTTTGCCCCGTCCTTCTCTATGGCTCTAAAACATGGCCAATACGAGTTGAAGGCATGAAAAGGTTGACTGTTTTTGATCATAGATGTCTACGATCTCTTTCTCACGTTAGGTGGTATAATAAGGTAAGTAATGTTGACGATAGACGTAGTGTTGGGAAAACAGGGAAAATCAATCGACGAGGCTATAAAGTTACATAGATTGAGATGGCTAGGTCACGTGCTGCGCACGCCTAACCATCGCCTCCCCCAACGACGGGCATTACTAGCTGATATAGGTGCAGGCTGGAAAAGAGTAAGTGGTGGCCAAACAAAAACATGGCCTCATCAATCCATGAAATCCTTGACAGTTAAACTGAGTCAGGTAGGGAGATGTAGACTTCCGGGTTAGGGCCCTCGGAACTCTAGGAATCAATGGCTGGAGACAATAGGTGACATGGCTCAAAATCGTTGTCAATGACCAGCGCAGATGTATTCAGTCTCTGTGATCTTTCATATTCCTTTCTACCATTACCCATTCTGTTTCGCTCTTATACTTGTCAAACTCTATTGATTCTCTTCACTCATCTTCTTGTCTATCTTTGTGTGGTATTTGTAACGTGGCAAATCGAACTGGTGCACTTCGGTGCCAAGTTCTATGTTGAATCCAGACAGAGAGATGGGCAATTCGCACAGCCTTTACTAGATTAACTAGAGATATGTTCACCTCTTTATATACATTTCTGGTGAAGTTAACATTGAAAAACTGTAGCCAGGTAGCCAGTCCTTGTCTTAAAGAGGACTTACATATTCTAGATAGGGTGATTCTTGGGATGACTAATTTACCATACGACGAAAGACAGAACAGTTTAAATCCCTTCCCCCTGTCATAGCGTAGATAGAGAGATCTCATTACAATGTTTAAAATTTTAAATAATGACTAAGAACCTGATCTATTCTCTCTTCTCCCTTCCCCCAGGTTAGAATACCTTAGAAGACATAGCAAGAGAGTTCAAAAGTCAAAGAGAAACTATATCGCTGTAGAGCGCCGGTTCTCATACCGAGTCATCAACTCGTGGAACCGACACCCAGCAGAAGTGGTGTCACAACCCTCAATTGACTCATTTAAAAAGGGTTTGGACAAACATAACAATTTACTAGAAAAGGACTAAAAATTGGCTTCAAACCTTCAAATCAACTTACCTCCACTAAGCATACACAACTTAAAATGACGCCATTTCACATCACCATCGTCACCATCATCACCCACGTCCTTAGGATAGATTGAATCGATAGAAATCTGTGAAGATAAAACACGTAGACTATTTAATTGGCCAATGAATGATGCCTTCTCAATGGATAATAATGAATCGAAATTAATCTGCATAGAATCTTCGGTTTCATCCAGGTTGACAGAAAATACAGCACAAAAGTACAGAGAATTTAGGTTATTTGGTTCTAATGAAGAAGAAGATGAGGAGGAGGAGGTATCAGGATTTGAATTGGATGTATGGGATAATGTACACGCAAAGTGGAAATCATGACCATGTAACCATACCGGACTGATACATGATACGCTGAAATTAAAAAGAACACACATTACATAAGACAATTAGATTCTTTTCTAAAAGACATCGCTATAAAAAATTCCGAGTAATTTTACTCATGTTAGAACTGAACAACCCCAGGGAAGATTCCTCATGTCCACTTATGTCACTTATCATCATCGCACGCACTCTGTACACGAATGTCCCTCTATGAGAGGCGGGAAAATCCAACTCTAAATCTATGATGTACGGTAAAAATCTATGGTTGGAAACAATTGGTGACATGTCTCAAAATCGTTCTCAGTGGCGCAGATGCATCCACTCCTTGTGACTTATGATCTCCAATGAAACTGTTTTGTTTTTCTTTATCACTCCTTTCTCTCACACCTCTGCTCACTGTTTCTATTATGCTTTTCTTGTACTTTCTTCTCTTGCTTCGCGTGCTACACGGAGTGTGGCGACTTGAACTTCCGCACATTTGTGCAAAGTTCTATGTCGAAAACAGGCAGACAGACAGATATACATGGGATTCAAAGGCGGATAAGCGAACGAATGTCGTACGAGCCTGCTTTACTTACCGACAACCATGGGAATGCAACTCCTGATCACACGCTCGGATGCTTATTGTGAAGTCAGCAGCTCATGAAGTGACCGTCTTACGAAACCCTACAGAGTGTATCTCTTGGCACCTACACTGTAGCAAGTTTATTTTCAAATAACAAAAATAACGCATCGTGTGAAGGCTGAAGATATTAATCCAGTTGTCCAGCCTAGGGCAAGAGGAAAGGGAATCGAGACCACAATACGACGGTGGTTTAACGGAAGAATTCTCGCCAGCCATGCATGTGGTGCTGGGGTTCGATCCCCAGCCGACGTATTCCTAGACCTCGCTAAGCCGGTAGTAAAGCTAGCGAAGAGGGAAGTTCGCGTGTGCGGCTAGCGACCCCATTCTGTTGAAACTTCAGAGCTGAAACTTGAAGCTTTATGTTCCACTAGGAACGTAAAAGGAGTAAAATAAATAAAAATAAAAAATTCTACAATACACAAACTTTTCCCTGACATTAAATATAAAAAAACATCTCATCGACTTCTGTTGCGGTGAGAGCGAGCTGCAAGCCAAATTTACGTCAATGTTCACTTCCCGAATCGCGGTCATGAGAAAAACAATCATAAAGCTTAACCTTGAGAAAATCACAAGCCAATCACAGCGGAGTTAAAGTGTGAAAATATGATTCAAAGGTATATATGGTTTGATTTTTCGAGAAACGGTCACAAAGAGATAACAGAATAACTTTCAGCAAGAAAACAACCAATGAGAAGAGGTTGCTTCTCCGCTAACAATAACGTTAATAATAATGCACACAAGAACTAGTAGAAAGATAGATGATAAAGTATTTTAATAAAATCTGTATGGAAGTGCAGTGTTACCAGTAAACAAGAATAGAGTGATAATAAAATAAGGACGATGAGAACAATAATAATAATAAAAATAGTAAACCTTAATAACGAAATGAAGCAAAATTATAGTAACAGCGTTACTCTAGCCACCGTAGGGCGAGTGAATGTATATAGGACTTTTGAATGCAGCTGTCCAGTTTCAGATCCCGAATAGCTAATGATTCAGCTATGTATAGATGGCGTATCCGAAGTCTTTTTATGCGATATTGAGGAACTCTGTGTAGCACTATGAAGCATTCAAGTAGGGGTGTTCGATGTTCAGAGTTGACAAGGTGGCCAAGGATAGAGCTGCTAGTATTTTTCTTTTATCACCTGGCTCGCCAAGCGGGACAGTATTCCACAATACGTTTGTGGACTTGACGTTGCGTACGGTAGATATACTCTGATCCAAACGAAAAAGTAAACTGATAAATACACACTGATGGCTAAAAACGGTATCTTATCCTTAATGTTAGACTGTAATGTCTGCTGAAGAATGTGATGCGTAAGATGGCTGCATGAAATGTCTTCTTCAGACATTTAGAAGCGTAGTTTCTATGAATTTCTGCTTCGATATCACATTCGAATTCCAGGTTCATGTAGAGAGTTTTCTTAGGAATATTTGTGATTTTTGGAGGACAGAGGCTTTTCCTGCATGTTTTTATCGATGAATCTTGGTGGATACCCGTTCTCCCCCAGTAGAGCTTCATGTGTAATGAATTCAATTCATTCTCTATCGTGTCTTTCAAACAGGTTTTGCTTTCGGACCAGTGGTATGAAGCTCTGAAAGTTGATAAATCAATTTTACCCTACTAATATCTACATTTGTGTCTCAGCTTAAATCACCTCTACCATGAAATAGCATTAGTTTACCAAATCAAAAGTGTCACTGAGAAACTGTGATTCGAGTTCATACCTTATGGAACACAGAAACAAAATCACTTACTTTAATCCTCCTAAGGAACTAGACAGCAGAGTGTTTAACTCAAGTTTTATCAGCTTTCTAGTGTTGATATTGTATAGATAATAAGTTAATCCACCGTTTTGAACCACTTCTAAAACATCATGACCAAGTGTCGGCGATGTACGTGCCTCAGGCAATACACGACATGTTATTAAAAGTAAATATCCTTTTGTTAGCTTAAGATCAACAATTGAACCAGGAACAACAGTCAATACTGATGATTTATAACTAGCAGTCTGGAAAGCAAAAAATTATTAAGATAAAACAGGAGGGAAAAGGCTAATAATAGATAAACATATTTAACAGAATGAAAGTGTTAGGGAGAAACAAAATATGAGCAAATCAGGTAGGCTTTAACCGAGAATGAGGATGTATTTGATCATATTTTCACCCTTCGACAGATTTTGGAACATACGCATACTTACGGGTGTTCAGTGATTGCCATACTTCTTGACCTGAAAGCAGTATTCGATTCCATCGATCGAGAGGTAATATGCCAATGTTTGGCCAGGAAGAGATTGTCGAGAAAATTCATCGTACTTACGTTGATTATCTCTCCTTTGATGAATCTGTCTTCACTCTCTTCTCTTGCTTTGTGTGCGATATGGAGGGAGGGTGGCAACTCAAACTGCTACACATCTGTATAAAATTCTACGCTGAAACCTGTCAGTCAACAGAATGAAACTAGAAGTTAGCGTTCTAAGTGTGATGAATAAGAAGAGAGAATCGCGTTTTATTTACGCACGACAAGCCAACAGCTAAATAAAACCTTAAAAATGTGTACATGATCGGTATATTTAATCTTTTACTTTACTCTATTGGCTATAATGTTTTCTTTATTGCTATCTTAATATTCTTTTAACTCATGTACGTACTATCACCAGTGTTGTTAATATTATTCGTATTGTGCTTTACTCTCCTTTTCTTTCTCTGCATATATTATTTTTACATTTTCTTTTATGAATCCCGTGAAGATACTTCCTTTTAAAATGGATTAAATAGTCTCACTGTTTAATATATGTGTAAAACTTGGGCACTATGGTAGTGAGTAATTCCATATTAGTTTGTTTATTAGATAAACAGTATCATTTACTGGATGACGTTTTGAATCAAATTTATTGTTCATATCAAATCATTTCTGACCAAGAACTTGAACTTAGAACGAAAGTATCACTATTAGAGGACATAATACTGGGAGTACAGCTATGCCTAAGTTCCATAGTGTTTAACTTCCATGGGAAAATATACAAACAAACTGGGGTCACCAATATCACCGGTTGTGTCAGATATATTCACGGATAGGTGGGAAAATATAACGATTGAAACGTTCAGCCCCACTCCAAGTCAAACTATGGTGTAGATGACACATTCACTGTATTTAGAACATAAGATGTAGATAGATTTTTCGAACACATTAACTCAAAGGTGAAGGCAATTCAATTCACCTATGAATTGGAAAGTCATGAGGGGGGACTTCCAATGTTAGATTGTAGCATAAAAAGGAAAGAAGATTTGAAGCTAAACACTAGTGTTTACAGGAAACCAACCCAGTATTTGGATTTCCGATCATCCCACCATGTGTAAATAAAAAATAGTCTTTCTGAAATATTTAAGTGACAGAGCACAAAAACTAAATAGTACCAAGGAAAATCTAAGACAGGAAGTGAGGCATATAAGAGAAGCCTTGAAACTTAATAATTACCCCGGTAAATTAATCAGACAGCATGTAAGGAAATGTAAAAATAAAATAAATAATGTTAGTAGCGATAGCGATAATAATAATAACAATAACAATGATAATAATAGTAATAATATTAATGACGACACCAACAATAAGGAATCTAAATCATCAGTAGTAATTCCATACAAGGAAGGAACCTCGGAAGCCTTACGCAAAATTCTTAACAAGGCAGGAATAAAAGTGGCATTCAAACCCACAAACTCAATTAGAAACAAGCTGTGTCGGTTAGAGGGTCCGGTGGAGCCTTTAAAACAAAACAATTTAGTTTATCTAATACCCTGCTGGAATGATAGTCAGGCCAAATACATAGGTTAAACTAGTAGAACAGGGGCAGCCAGACTACAGGAACATAAGCCTTAGCAAAATCTGGGTTAGTTAACCCGAATAAGATGAGAAATCTGGAGAATAATTGGTTCAGTTATAGCACTCACTACATGCAGTTAAACACAACCATACACAGTAGAATGGGATAGGATGACAGTTTTAAAATCTAATATAACAGGGTGAAGGGAGAGATTGATAATGGAAGTTTTATCGAATCAACTGCAAACACGTGTAACAGGAATGATTCAACACCTGTCTCAGATATCTGGAAAATCCTACTATGCATAAGACGACAAATACGAGAGAACAAAGAAAACTATAAAACTCAAGTTTCGAAGTTGTGTGATTATAATTGATATGATTATAAACAATACATTTTCTTCGAAACCTTTTCATCCAGTAAATAATTCTGTTTCACTGTGTGATACATCTAATAAACAGACTAATTTGGAATCTCACTGTTTAGTTACACGCTTTTTTTCACAATCAAAGCGGTAAGTGATAAACTTACGAACTACTCTTTGAATTTAGATGAATGAGAGAAACGCTCATGAAATTCATTCGCCAGAAAGAAACGGATATGCGGCTGAAGATGCCTATAATAATATGACATATATATACTCGTATATCATTGAAAAAGGCCGGTATTTTAAGTGGCTGGCTGTTTATCCCTAACCAATCTACACATATAAGCACGTAAATGTGCTAAAGAATGGTATATTTCCACTGTATAAGAATCACAATAGTAAGTGACTTAATAAATCTCTGGAGTTGCATAAAAGATAAAACCTATGTCCATTATGGATAAGATTTTATTTGATAAATCACACAGTGTTATACAGTAATATTAACTGATGACCAAGTTTCGAGCACAAACTATTGCTCATAATCATATCAAGGCAATAATCACGCAACTTTTTACTTCATTTATATACATGAGTGGAATTGATGATTAGACATTTGAATAAAAATCAATATAGGATAATGTACTCAGAATTTAACTGGTGGATGGTGACTAGCAGTGGAATCCAGGATGCGAATTCCGTCCTATTTAATTGCTTGATGGTGATTACCTCAACAAAAGGCAGTAAGCCGGGTTTCTCTTAATAATGTATTAACTTGCATGTTTTTAAGGACCGTTGTGTTTGTTCTCATCAACTGCTACTCGTCATCGCGTAAGATCACCTAGATCCACACTTCCGTTTTAAGTTTATTTGATACATTTCAAATGAAGCTCGATAAACGGGTAAAACTATTGTGGAATGGCAAAAATTTTATCAACAATTTTATAAACAACCAAAGACATTTAAAAATGACTTACTTCTTCAACATACTTGAAAGACACAATCAGGCCACGAATATCACCTGTGATGAAAGCATCACCGGATGGAGAAACATAAAAGTTTCCTGAGAGCATGTTATGATGCGGATTTTGAATGGATATGGGATATAACTGTTGAAAATAAAATCAATAAAAAAGTATAGCAACACACATGCACAGATAATTGCAAACCAGAGAATTTATGTCGTCTTACAAGATATTATGGGATGTCAATCTACCACCTAGGAAGAAACAGTATCCCCACTTATATGTTGGTCTGATGACGTATATTTCAATTCGCATAACCAAAAAGACTAAATGTGATATATGAAAATCGACGAGTGATAACTACTATAACTACTATTATGTAAAATTACTACTGGTTAACTACGAGTGATCTCAGGATCGACTCCAGTAGCACAATGGTTTGCCATCACTACAGTTAAGAGTAAAATATCTTAGAGGAGAAAAGAGTATTTGTAAAGTAAAATGCACTTGTATTTTACAGTAATATTTCTTGACATAAACCATTAAATGACATAAATCCTTAAATGAAGAACAACAACTACTTATCGCGGATCAATGTACTCCTAAACCTCGCCTAGCCAGCACTGAGCACACCGTCCATGGCAAGAAACCCCACCCCATAAAAAGAGAAAACACCACTTCTATTGAAAGTTTAAGGCTTAGGGCTCTATGTTTTACTCAGGAAAACACTTGTGACGGGAAAAGGAACACAGCTTTCACTGGTAATAAGTTACTAGATATATAATACAACAACATATTTCGATGTCAATTAGCTGTCTGAAAAGTTTATATTTGAATTATTCAGGTTGTACTTTTGATAATATTCTTGACATAAAAATCAATACATAATATACGTAATGATGAATTGTTTCTCACATTTTAATTCCAACTCAGCAGGACCTTACTTACATAATAATCTCTTTCTATTAACAACCATTGTTAAGCTGAAACACAAACCAGTAAGATCAACGCAGTCATATCAAACAAATAAGCAGTCAGTGCATAACAGAAGTATGACAGACTCAAGTTACGTCACTCCATAAAATTTGGTGCAGTTTATATATATATATATATATATATATATATATATATATATATATATATATATATATATAGTTTTATTAAGTTCACTTTACTTCATGAAGAAAAAATTCACAATACAGTCAAATGGAATGAAAGTGCTAAAAGGGAATTCGTTTACTTCCTAAGTTAATTAATCAGTTGGAACGAAATTACTTAGAACAGAATTTTCATATACCAGGTAACACATACTATGTGAAGACTGATGATGACACTGAAATCCAACAGCTGAAGTAGGAGTCAGACTCCGGTCTAATAGACGGAAAATCAATTGTTTATGCCATTAATTTACATTTCTAACTTAAAGACATTGCACGATTTAGAACGTCTTGGAAAGAAACATACGTATGAAACATAAAAAGGGAAAGTACTGCAGTGACACCGGTCAAATGAACTCTTAAAACACTATCAAAAAACTATGTATGAGAAACAGGTTTTAATGGCTAATAGTAATGAACCGAAGTAATCAAAGTGTTTTCTAAAAATTGACTAACTTTTAATTTCTTGCTTTCCGACAACAGCAAAGAATGGAAAACTACTAGAGACTCCTCCTGACTACGAAAAGCCAGAGGCTTTTTGTAAGTAGCTTTCATGTTATAATAGCAGGAGCACACAATCACAAGTCTGTTTTCTGCCCGTACTTTGACAGAAATGGGGATAGCTGATGACGTTTTTCTGAGAATGTTACGAACATTTTCAACCTAAATTTGAGGGAATTACAAATACGCCTCACAAACTTTAATAATTCCAGCAACTTTGCACGATTTCTTGTCAATAACACTCAAATATCCGTTATCCCAGCCAAACACAACATATTCATTACAAGCGTCCAAACAATTTATAATTGGACGCGTCTCACTGCGATTAGACTGCAAACCATTCTTCAAGAATTCAGAATGACACTTATCCACAATATGCAGAACAGAATCATACTCCTGAAACTCTCCGATAAGTTGACGAATATTATCCTTCTCCGAACCCATATGTGTACCGTCACATTTGAGAAACTGCCTATTTCTGACCTTCATAATCTACACCCAATACCCAATACCAGTTCACTAACAGTGAAAACACATTTTTACTCCCCTAACTAATTTGTAGTTGTTTAAGAATACTTTTGGATCTTTCCAGGTTCGACTGCATAGAATCTATCCCCTCAACTGTCGATTTGTTCCTAGCCAATGGCATTACTGGTATTCACAAGTACCATTTACATACACTTCCTCTAAATAGGTTTAAAAGCACTCTAGAGAACAGGAGAGGAATGAAGAATAATACCTGGATCTATTTCAGACAAAGATAATGACCGCTGAGTAACCACTACCCTCTACGGTACCAAATTAAAGTTACACTAGCACTCTCTCCTCAGATAACAAGTTTCACTGGAAACGGCAAAACTCGTATAGCTGCTAAAGAAGCATAACTGAAGCTGAATTATCATTCCTGACTAATGTCGACGTCATCTATCCGAACTTTATTGAATAACGTCATGTACAATATCATCAGCCTGATTTGACTTCTGGTGTTTTTTAACCAACTTATGAGGTTATACTTATAGCATTAATATACTTACAGACCCAAACAAACTTTCTTCAACCACCCATCCCCAAACGTATTGCTTTCTTAGGCATCCAATCAAGTAATTAAGTCTTTTTGACTTGTGTTTTATTGTCGTAACTTACAAGTAAGGCAAGTAACTCATTTTCACGATCTGTGTGACTCACTTGAAGGGACACAATGTAATTACGAAAATCGGGAATGATGATTATTTATAAATACTGTGTATTATATGACTATTTTTAGTGGAACTTGTCATTTGAAGCAATTTCAAATCGATTATTCTCTATAGCTACTATCTTTTACACTTTACCTTGGTTAGGTTCAACGTGAGAAATGAGATACTACTGTCTCAAAAGTTAACATCTGTGTAGTAAATGCATCAGCTGGGTCAATGTATTTGAAGATTGAATGATTAATTCATGGTTGTTTGCTCATACCCAACTCCTCCAGAATTCTCGCGGGAGTCATCAATACAGCAGTCATCTTCTGATCGTTCGCTGTTCGTTGGAAGAGAGAAAACTATCAGAAACTTTGTGTACAACAACCTAATGGTTGGCTGTGTATTGGTGGAGGAATAAACGGTTCTTGAGTCACCAATCTGCGTTCTGGTTCTTCGTGTTAGCTACTACACATAGTTTCTGGAAGTTTTCCAAGGACAGCGTAAGGTCCAGTGTAGTAAGACCTCGACAGTGACAGTTTCTGATAGTTTCTGCTCGTCTCTCCTCGTGTCTGCCCGTCTTCTTTGGACAAGTGTTGGCTGGAACCTTTCCGGATTGTTTGGTCAAGTTAAGTAATGCCTGTGTATAAGAAAGGACAAAGCGCTTAGGAAGCAGACAGGAGAGTAAGTAATGCTGAGTTGCCTGTTACATGTATTGATGTGTCTGATGTTAAGCATGATAAGATTGATGTCCATGTTTCGCCGTCCAGGAATAATAGAAATTTTAAAATTCCTAAATATGAACCTCGATGTTTCGACGGAAATCCAGCTGACTATCCACAGTTTGTAAAGGAGTTTGAAGTAATGTTGAGTGAGTTTGTAATTAATGACGAAATGAAGTTAATGTGTTTGTTGAAGTATTGCACTGGAGTTGCTTCAAGAGCTGTACAGTGCTGTAAGTTCATGCCCCCAAACGAAATATACACAGAGGCGATGCGCGTTCTGAGTCAAAGGTTTTGAAGACCTTCGGTTATTGTAAGGAACGTATGGGAGGCTGTTAAAGGTAATGGTGGTCAATTGCAAGATGACTGCAAGACACTCTCTGAGTTTCTCGGTAATCTGATGACTTACAAGAATACGTTGACTTCGATGAATTTTATGAGCGATCTGAACTCAAGTTCCGTCCTAGATATAATAGCGAGACGATTACCTACTCAACTGCAAAGGAAGTGGGTGAACATAAGTTCTCGTATAGGGGATTAAGGTATTCAGCCAAAGTTTGATGATATTCCGAAACTGGTAAAACGTAGTGTCAACCAAGCTATGAGCACCCCACCTCTGGAATAGAGAAGACAGAGAGCGAAACGCAGTCATTTATGATGAAGGTAACAGTGAAGTGGATATCGAGAAAACTCAATGGTTTCTAGTAATCCATATAAACTTAGTGAGTGTAACAGCTTTCGTGGGACATCCACAACAGATAGGTTACAAGTTGCGAGACAAACACGGTTGTGTTTTACACGTTTGCAAGAAGCGCATACAAAGGAAAACTGTGAAGCGGTGAGCAAGTTTAGTAGTAAGCTAAATGCGAAGTCAGAGTAATCAAGTTCTGACTCCGATTTGTGTGACGATAATGGTGTGGTCAAGAAGCTTGTGGTTGCAATTGATGAGCCATTATTGAATAGAGTGTCACAGACGACACAGCAGTGTGTACAGGAGTTTACAAGGTAGAGCGACTTTATTGCATATCCCCGCAATGACGCTTGTTGCTATGTTGCTACTGCACAACAGCTGATAAAGAAATTAACGATTCAGTACAGGTTTCTGCCAAGCTGCAAAGAAATTTATCGAATGACAGTGCTCGAAATGTACGCGAAGCTTACTCGGTACGCCAAATAATCATTGCATGATCCATGTATTTAAGCGTCCTGTCACACAAGCAATCAGTAAATGCTCAAGAACAAATCGAACAAAAATTTTCATGTGAATCCACCCAACAACAGCAAAATAAGCACCGAAATCGCGTCTATTGCGTTTGCTCAGACGACTAGCTCCAACTCGAATCAACGAAACCGCGCAAATGCCCTCATGGTTAAGTCAGAGGCGCCACTTCAAATAGGGGATATGCCATATCAACGCCCCACTCAGTCGTCTTTGGTGTTGTCATCCACAATGACAGGCACGTCCATGAACTCACGTGTCTTATGCGATGACTATGCTAGTATCAGTCCGTTTGAAAGGACGAATGTCAATGGTCTGTTTAGGGAGGATAAACCGACTGTATATGAAAGGGTAATTGTTACACTGACTTGCATGAATAAAGGAATTTCAAGTTTCAAGTTACTATTTGAATGTTATCATCTTTGGTGTAAATTGCTATGCGCCTACGATTGATTGGTCAGATACGTTGTATGTTTGTTAGTCATCTACATTCTACGATACAATGTCATGGACGTGTCACTGTTCAGCTTTGAGGATATAGCTCATAGAAGGAAGTCAGCAAATGAGCTCTGCGACGATTTTCCAACCTAGAGCGTCAACCTGAGAAGGGTTGTAGGCGTACTGCGTGAGTCCTACAGTTCTTCAAGGGTAGTACGTCGAAGCGCAGTCCAATGTGCTTGGTGTGTGATTTTGTACATATGTTCATATTGCATATACTGAATTGGTATCATATATCATCTATCCGTTAGTAATTTTGTTTGCGTCCGGACGTACTCCACTTATATCACCAACTTGTGAAGGAATGTAGGCGTACTGCTGTAAGTCCTACAATTCTTCAAGGGTAGTTCGTCAAGGCAGAATCTACAACATTTGATGTATTGATTGTACATATGTTTGTGTTAAGTTATTGAGTGGGTTCCAATAAGTGTAACTGTTGGTTAATCTTGTTTGTGTCCGGACTTTCTTCAACCTACCATCGTCAACCTGAGAAGGGTTGCAGGCGGACTGGTGTAAGTCTTGCAATTCTTCAAAGGAATTCCATCAAGACATGACATGCGAGTTTATTTTTACTGTTTTTATATATGTGTGGTGTATCATATCAATTGGTGTTTTTGGATTCACTGTGTTTACTGGCTGTTTTCGTATCTTGTTATGCATAATTTTGTTAAAGTTTTCGTCGTGCTCACTACTGAAGTTGTTTCGAGTCTTCCACATCCATGAATGAAGTGATTGATGTTAAAGACAGCAGATGGATCGTGTACGCTGGGGAGGTTAGTGCGGAGAATGACATACACACGGAGAAAATGATTAGCTGTGGAATCAATGATTGAGAATGAATGTTTCTATTCAGGCTGTGGTCCCACACTCTGGTTAGCGATGGTGTAGACGACTTAGGCTTGCATACGTCACCGTTACTAGGGCTGAGGCACAATGAGTGACAGGTGATAGCAGTGGCTATTGGTAGTGAATAGATAAGAGGATGTGCGAAAAGTATCGTGAGGTGCTCCTATGGTCACGTTGCTTTCTGCAAGATTCATTCTAGCAAGTGGCGATTGTGTTGCAAGATGTCAAGAGGAAAGCGTAGGTCGTCGTCGATGAGTGAGATTGCGCTGTGAGTATGCCTGTGGTGTGTTGGCTTTTCTGTTTGTTTTCCATTTCAGCTCTGTCCGTGTGACCCAGGTTCTCGCAAAGGCATCCAAGTCAACGTGCATTGGTCGTGATGGAAAAAAGGGTTGGATCACTTTTCTGGCGGGGAGTGTCAGGTTTTCGTGTTAGTTTTTACACAGTTTCTGAAGGTCTCTCAAGGACAGCGTAGGGTCCAGTGTAGTAAGACCTAGACATTTAAAAGCTGCGTGCAGTTCGCATCAGATTCCCTGATGGAGAATAATTTGGTTGGACGTTTGTAAAGAAACCGACAGACCGGAAATTTAAAGTCCGTTCCACGAGAAGCCATTGTTACATAGATGTCATGTCTCTTCCTGTTACATTGCTGTATCCTATTAAGCCAGCATGGTTTTGGTTCTGGAGTGACGGTTGACTTCTCAAGAGGCTGGATTTTGCATGTAAATCAGTCACTGAATGCAACTAGTGTGTAGTCTCAGAGGTAACTGGGGAAGATCTGGAACTAGTTTGCTGATATTCATCAACAAAAAATTAGCAGTCACTACTCGGTGTTTAAAATTCGCTATACTGAATAAGGCAGTCAGAGGCATTACCACTGAGCCATACAGCTCAGCGAATGACTTTCTGTGAAAGTGCAAACTTTACTTTGGGCAGTTACTAGGGTATGTTGTCTTTAGACCTTAGTGCTGACTGAGCACAATG